GCGGTTAGAGGACTCTGCGCTTTCACTGCTGGGGGCAGGGGTTCGATCCCTGGTTGTGGAACTAAGATGTCACAAAGCCAGAAAAAGGGAGTGGGGTGGGGAAGGGTCACCATTCACCGCAGGGTGACTGAGCCAGAGCCTTCCGCAACTGTGCTCTTTCCCACACGGAGGATGCAAACATCAAGGAATGCGGCTCTATGTGTTCCTGTATGTCCTTGTTGCTGTTGTTGTTCAGTCGTAAGTCACGTCTGACTCTCTGCGACCGCATGGACTGTAGCCCTCCAGGCTCCTCTGTCCATGGGATTTCCCAGGCAAGAACACTGGAGTGGGTTGCCATTTCCTCCTTCAGGGGATCTTCCTGACCCAGGGATTGAACCTGTGAGTCTCCTGCATTGGCAGGTGAATTCTTTACCACTGAGCCATCAGGGAAGCCCATCTCTCCCAGCCCTGCCACCTGAGGCAGAGGTGGCAGCCCTGTGCAGAGGCGGGGGGGGGTCCCTCTCCCATCTGCTGGGGGTGGGAGGCAGCTGGGCAGCCCCACAGCATACAGGACTTTCTACTAGAAAAGCCAGCTCTTCACCATTCCACACCAATAGCATCACCGGCGATAACATCTGTAGACCAACCTACCCTTTATGGCCGGACTCCCTGCTCCACTTCCCCCATATTCCTGGGACCCCAGTGACACTATTCTCTCTGCAGTGCAGGAAACTGAGGTTGTGTGCAGGTACCTGTCACTATCGGTAAGGAAACAGGTATCGCGACAGGTGAAATGGCGAGTTCAAGGCTGAGTAGCTGGTGATTCACACCAGTCAGATTTCATGCTCAAGACTCACCTCCCAGGTGTGAGGCACAGGGAGATTCATGTGGATGTCTTGGCCCACGCCCCAGCCGACCCCCCCCACACAATCGAATGTCAGGTATCTGGGGACCACCAGTGGCTCACAGGACCCGCCTCATGAGGGACAGGTGAACAGAACAGGGTTCCTGAAGCCTTCTCACCTGGCCAAAGCACCCAGGTCCCAGAAGGGTCCAGGTTGGGAAACGCTGAGTCCAAGGATGGAAGTTCATTCCAAGAGAAGGCCTGAGGCTCCCAACAACACGGTTTGCCCCCAAGTCCCCCCAGAGGCAAGACCACCTCTACCTTCTCCCAGGGGACCATGGCCAGCCGTCCACGCCCAGCAGGCTCAGCCTGCTCACCCATCCGAGACTCTGCACTCCCCCGGCAGACTTCAGAGGCTGAGGAGCAGAGGCTGCCTCCAAGGAAGAAGAGTTCGTTCCCTGAGCAAACATGCTGTGCCACCAAGTCCTGTCATCACCTCAATCCTGCCACCCAGGAGACCGAGGCACAGAGGCCCCCAACTACCTGCCGGGCACCAGTCCAGCCCACACAGCAGAAGACCCCAAACATATGCCCAAGCCCTAACCCCCAGAATCTGTGGATATGACTTTCACGTGGTAAAGGGATCCTTACAGACATAATTAAGGATCTAAGATCATCCTGGCCTTCCCAGGTAGCTCAGTGGTAAAGTCCCCACCTACCAATGCAGGAGACGTAGGTCCAATCCCTGGGTGGAAGATCCCGTGGAGGAGGAAAGGGCAATCCACCCCAGTACTCCTGCCTGGAGAATCCCACGGACAGAGGAGCCTAGCAGGCTACAGTCCATGGGGTCGCAAGAGTCAGACATGACTTAGCACCCATGACTGACTGAATGAAGATCATCCTGGATTTAGATTCCGGATTCATGCGTGTGTGTTCAGTCGCTCAGTCATGTCCGACTCTTTGCCACCCCATGGACTGAGCCCGCCAGGCTCCTCAGTTTATGGGATTTTTCAGGCAAGAATACTGGAGTGGGTTGCCATTTCCTTCTCCAGAGGATCTTCCCAACGCACGATTGAACTGGCATCTCCTGTGTCTCCTGCATTGGCAGATGAGTTCTTTATCACTGAGACACCTGGGAAGCCCCTAAATCCAGTGACAAGTAACCTTAGAGGGAAAGACAGAGACACAGGGGAGCAGCCATGTGGAGATGGAGGCAGAGACTGGGTTTCTGTGGCCTCCAGCCAAGCAATGCCTGGAGCCACTGGACACTGGATGAGGCAAGAAAGGATTCTCCTCTAGAGCCTCTGGAGCGCGTGTGGCCCAGCCAACACCTTGCCTTTGGACTTCTGCCCATGAGCTATGAGACAATACATTCCTGTTGGTTTAAGCCACTCCGTTTGTTACAGCAGCCCTGGAAAACCAATACAACCAGGCTCAGCCAAGACCAGAGACCACGCTCTCAAGTCCATGCCAGGGTGACTTGAGCATAAAGGGGACAGGAATTATCTCAGATCCCTGAGATTTTGTCATTCCAGACTGAGACTCTCAGTGTGAGAAACGCAGACTTTCTCCTCTTGATGATCACTTCAGTTACGAATGACCTCCCCAAACAGAAGTGTTCCCTTATTATAACTAGTAACAATTCCAAGTGTATCCACAAAACAAAAACAGGAAAGTAAAAACTCTCCTAGAGGGGCTTTCCTGGTGGCTGGCTCAGTGATAAAGAATCTGCCTGCCAAGGCAGAAGACATGGGTTTGACCCCTGGTTCGGGAAGATCCCACATGCCTTGAAACTAAGCCCCTGCATCACAACTACTGAGCCTGTGCTCTGACCGCCTGGGAGCCACAACTATTGAGCCCATGTGCTGCAACTACGGAAGCCCAGGTGCTCGAGAGCACATGCTCTGCAACCAGTCGAGCACCGCAACTAGAGAACAGCCCCCGCTCACCACTACGAGAGACAAAGCCCACGCAGCAACGAAGACCTAGCACAGCCAAAAATAAATTAAAAACCACATTAAACAATTTAAATAATAAAACCTCTCCTGGAGAAAGATGTGAAGAGAGTATATGAGAACGTTCTGTACAATCTTCCTAGTAATTCTATAAATTCTATAAATCTAAGCCTGTCCTAAAATCAAAAGTTTATTTACCAAAGAAAAACCAGCTCCCCTGGAACTCCTTTAAGGATCAGCCCTGAGACCCTAGTTTGAGAAATGATGCCTTGGTGCTGTGCCCATTCATGTATGTAGAATGAATGGCAGTGCTTATGATCTGGGGGGCCCTTCAGAGCTTAAGTGTCTGTCCTGAGCGCCGATACCCATCTGGCATACTCCGTTCTCCCCTCATCTGGTCCAAGAAGAACCAGCTCTGCCCAAGCAAAAAGAGGTGTGATGCTGGGTGTGAGGAATTCTGTGTGGGAACCAACTGCTCCACACACTTCCCTTCGGAAAACCCCGTGCCCAAAGTGGCAAAAAGCTCACACAAACCAACGCCAGGAAAAGCCTTCTCAGTGACACCTGGAGAACATCAGAGCAAGAAACTGGGAGAGACAAAGCTGAGTGTAACAGAACAACAAAATGTGAATGAGAAGAGAACAGATAAGAACAAGAGAGAACAGATTAAAAAAGAGTAACAACAGAAAGAAAAAGGATGAACTACAAAGACGCGGGGTCTTGGCAAACACATTTGAGATCTCTCTCCCCCCCATACCAAAATGTCAGTTTTGAAACTAGCTTCTGAAAATGTAACCAGTTTCTCACATCCCCAAAAAGGAAGATCGGGGAACCGTGGCGAGGGAGGAGACTGTTACATCTTACTTCGGAGCCGGGCATCAAGAAGGGGCCCCAGCCGTCCACCTTTCCACGAGGCGCATACCCAGGGGCTCGCACCACCCTCGCAGGGACCCTCTCCCCAGATCTAGAAGTTTCCCACTTGGGGGTCGGGAATGCCAGGCCCTCCAGATGAGTGGAAAAGGGTCCTCCAGGCCGCCCCAGAGTGGGCACCACTTTCCAACCGTTTAGCAGTCCAGAGGGTCCCCTGGATGGCCCAAGGCTGTCCACACCCCTCCCTCCTCCCCGCCACGGCGGCCACATCCGCCCCCAGACTCCCATCTCTCCCACGCCCAGGCCCCCTCCACTCCCACCCAGCCCCCACACCCCCGGCTTCTTCAGAATTCTTACCTTCCACTCTTGGCCCCCCACTTCCTGCCCACCCTCTCCCAATCTCAGGGCCCTCACTACTCCCCCACTTCCCGCTTCCCTCCGTACTCGGGGCACCTCACCTCTGGCCACCACGCACGCCCTCTTTTCTCTTTCTGCCCCTTGACACCGTTCCTCCACGCCCCTCACTCGGGGGCCCCCCCACACCCAGCTCCCTCGGTTCGGCCCCACAGACCCTACATCAGGCCCCCACGGACCAGGGCTCCTTACCCTGGGAACCCCAGGCACCTCACCGCGTCCCTCCCGGCCAGGGTCCCCCCCCCCGCGGCCGGCCTCGTGCGCAGCCCCCGCGCGCAGCCCGGCCCCGGGGCCCCGCACTCACGGCTGTAGAGGGCGATGCCCGCCGCGTCCGGGCCGGCGCGCACCTCGAGGCGCAGCGCCTGCTGCTCCGCGTGCCGCTGGATCTCGCCGTTCGCGTCGCCGATGGTGAGGAGGCGGGCGCCGGGGAACACGGACACGGCCCCACAGGGCCCCGTACCTGCAGGCGGCTCTGGGCGCTGGGCGGGCGCACGCTAGGGGGCGGGGCCGGACCCCTTCACCCCGTCCCGCCCCGCGCGAATGGGCGCTGCTTTGTGAGGTGACACCGTGGCCCAGGAACTGCAGGGTGGGAGCGTACGTCAGGGGTGATGCTCGGCCGCGCGGACACGCCCCTAGACTTAGGACCCCGCCCCCAGCTCGGCGTGGCCCGAACGGCCGCGCTTTGTAAGACCGTGCGGCGGCGGAGGCCCACGAAGGGCGGGGCCCGGAGCTCGCGCCAGGGGGCGGTGCTCGGCCCTGTGGACACGCCCTCAGGCCCCGCCCCACGCCGGCGGCCGCGCTGTGTGAGGTGGCTTTCTTGCCTGGGAAACGGCGGGGGCGGGTCTGACGCCTGAGGCTTGGCTCCGCCCCCGGTCCCGCCCGGCTTTGTGAAGCGGCACGCAGAGGGGCGGGGTCCAACTTCGAGGAGGCCCCGCCCCTATACCGGTCCAGCTCCCCCGACACCGGGCCTTGCTTTGTGAGGCTCTGGTTTCTTGAGAAGGGCTGGAGTGGGGACAGAACGTAGGACCACGCCCCAGCCTGTGGCCCCACCCCCAGCAGGCCCGCATGAAGAGCAGTTCGAGCCAGGACTTGGCCTCTGAACCCCATCTTTAAACCCTCTCCGGAACTCAACGGCTCCTTCTCTTTTCCCCTTCCCCCAGTGCCCTCTTCCTCCATTCTTGGTCCTTCGCTGTCTTCTACCCACAAAAAATTGTTGGACGCCCCATTATCCCCTGGCCCCCTCATTCACTCTTCCTTCCCCCAGTGATGACTGGCCAGTGAATCCACTACTCCAGAGCCCCATTCTCTTTCAGGGTTTCCAAAGGAGCTTGAGGCCCCTTGCTTCATGTAGACCGCCTCTCCCGACACCCCCATGGTCCTCCCCAGACACCACCCCGACTGCATGCACTTAAGGGGTACTTCTCCCCATCCCCCAGCAATCAGTGATTAGACAGCAGAGGTCCTGGGCTTGAAGGACTACACTCCATAGAGACCTTGGGAACAGCTCAAAACATTATAATTAATAACTTAGGCATGCCAGCAGGGCACACAGAATATACCCCACCCAGGGTACCCTATGCTCCCAAAACCCAGTCAGGTTGGCCAAGTCAGGTGCGATGGGAAGGAGGAAACCAGAGGGGTGTGCGAGGCTCAGATTCATAACAGCCCAGCTAAAGGCCAAAAGGGATCCTAGTATCTCCTCCCCTGGTGGGTTGAGAAGCTGGAAATCCTGAGATGCTTCCTGCTTTCCGTCCAGCCTCCAGGTCGATGCTTTCACCCTCTCTCCCACTCTGCTGCTCTGCGAGGAAGGTCCCAAGGGCAGGAATCTCCTTTGTCTCTTCTGTTCATTTCCCTGAGAAAGCAGCAGCCAGAAGTCCCCAAAGTAGCTGGAGGCCCTACACAGCCTGGCCAGCTCCAGGGGGAGGGCTGAACAGAGGGCACGCAGACAGAGAGAAGGGCTCCCCTAACAGGCCCGGAATGTGCTGAATTCAGGGGGCTCAGGTGAGGATGATGTGGAGGTGGGCCTCTTCCGGGGTCCAGGTGTCTCAGTGGAGCCTGAGGGAGCATCCAGGTTGGCTGCATCTTCTTCTGAAGTCATTTTCTTTGTCCGTAGAGGGAAAAATAGAGAATGAAGTGATTTGGGGTTTCTGGGTCTTGGGTTGCCCCATTTTCTGAGGCTGAGACTCCCACAGTCCATCAGGTCTCACCTCACTGCCCCCCCTACACACACACACACAGACACATCTGCACACAAACACAGATGCAGGCCCCTGATCCTGCCATCGGTGCTGTCTTGATGTCTACTGAAAAAGGAACCAGACAGCCTGGGTTCAAATCCCAGCTACACCTCTTCCTAGTGGTGTGATTGACCTCTTTATGTCTCAGTTCCCCGTTTTGTACAATGGGGGAGAGTGGCAGTACCCTTCATCCTGGGGTGGCTATGACTCATAAAGATGAACACTGTATGGCATCATTTCTCTATAAAAATCCAGAATAGGCAAATCCACCAAAATGACAGAAAGCAGAATGGTGAGTGCCAGGGTCTGAGGTGGGGGAGTTGTTTAATAGGCAAAGAATTTTGTTGTGTTTTGTTTTATTTTGGCTGCACCTCGCAGCAGCTTGTGGGATTTTAGTTCCCCATCCAGGGATTAAACCTGCGCCCCCTGCAGTAGAATGGTGAGTCTTAACCACTGGACCACCAAGGAATTCCTTGACAGGGTTTGTTTTCTAAGATACAGTTCTGAGAATGATGGCGGTAACAGTTGTACAACAATAGGAATATACTTAATGCCACAGAACTGTACACTTAAAAATGAACTAAAATGGTAAATTTCATTTATATTTTACAGTGATTATAAAAAAAAACTAGAAAAGATCACTAGAACTTACTGTTAAAGAAAAGAACCATCAGTGCATAACAGTGTGGTTAGCATGCTGTCATTTGTGTTAAAAAGAGTGAGGATACAGACTTGCTATTTTTGCCTTCACTTGCTTGTATGTGCAAGAAGTTCCTAATGGTCGTTTACCTGCATGTGTGTGTGCGGAGTGGAGGCCAGTGGGTGCAGAGGGATTAAGAAATAGCAGAGAACTTTATGAATATAGATTACAGATAATTTTTACATTTGGTTGTATTTCATAGTCTATATACGTATATATTTAAAGTCTCCAGGACTAGGATACTGAGAAATAAGTTATTTTTTCCTTTTTTTTTTTTTTTTTCCTGTCTTCCCATCGTTTCGTTTTAAATGCCTTTTAAAAGTGGGGAGAGGGAAGCAGAAATCACCAGGCTAGTGCCTTGAGCAGTGTGGCTTCTCAGGGAAGGTTTTAGAACGTGACCTGCCCTCCAGGTTTTTCTTAACAGCTTGTTCCCTGAACTGAGCCCTCAGAGAGCTGGACAGGTCGGTGCCAAGCCCCTTCCTTCCCACCATCTGTATACCAGTGACGGAGGCCAGACTCCATCTGCTCTGGAGCATCACTGGGTGCGGTGGCCCCTCTCTTGTCTCTCAAGGACTCCGCCACGCCTCTTCCTCCCTCCGCCCACTCATCTACTCTGAAATCAGTGCCGTGTTTCCCATCCTCTGAATCTGACCTGCATCTGTTCGCACCTTCCACCTCCGCTGCCAGCACGCTGGACCAAACTACCCACTACGTCTGGCGCCTGAACCATCTGAGCTGTCTGCGCCTGGTCCCCGGGTTCTTGTCAGCCCACGGCCTCCACAGCTTGTGCTCGCTGCAGCCAGCAGAGGGCGCCCGTGGGCACGTAGAGCGGGGTCCCGTCTCCGTTCCAAACCTTCCAGGGCTTTCACTTGACTTGGGATAAAAGTCAAAGTTCTGCGCAGGAACCCCTCCACTCCTCACGCCTCTGCACCCCAGTTCTACTGGGCCGTGTGGAGAACGTGCCCTGAGCCTGGATCAATCCTCCACAGCTATCTCCTGCTTGTCACTTATCTCTTAGACCTCCCAGATCTCCCATCTGAATGTGTTAGCTTCCTGGGCACCCCCTACCCGATGTGCTATCGCCTGTCTCCCCCTGTGGAACTAAGAAGCTCAGGAGATGAAGGGTCTCATCTTGTTCTTGTCCAGATGCCCAGGAAGGCTATGTCAAACCCATCCAGCCCTCCCCCTACCCCTATTTCCTATAGTGGTGTCCCAAGCCAATTGACTCCACCCCAGGCTCCCTCACTCCAGTCCCAAAGCATCCATTTATACAAACAGGACTCCTGAGGCCACTTCAAGTGGGACCACCTGCACCCCAGACCTGTACCCATCTCTGCATGGAGAGAAGCTAGCTGGACATTTTTTTGTTTCTGTGTTTGGCCACACCGCAGCTTACAGGATCTTGTTTCCCAACTAGGAATAGAACCCGTGGCTCCTGCAGTGGAAGTGCAGAGTCCTAACCACTGGACCGCCAGGGTATTCCCCTAGCTGGACATCGTCTTCATCCATGGTGTCCACGGGTCAGATATCTCCAATTTACTGAATAATAATTACCCCAAGGCCACCACAAAATGCAACTGTGCAAAGGAGAGCCATAGACCGGGTTTCAAATGCTAGCCAGGATGCTATGTGATCTGGGAGAGCAATGCCTTGCTAAACACGAGGTGAGGAGCAGGGATGGGTGTGAAGGTTGAGACCCTCCTCCCCGAAAAGGGAATACATGTCTGGGACAACTAAGCTGAAATTCCTGAAGCTGAACATGAAAGTAGTCTTTTCTTTATACCAGACTGTCATAAGGCTCCATGACTCCAAAGAAGCCCCCAGGTCGTCTTTTGTTACCATTGTGAGTGCAAAGGCAGTGCTGACAACCAGGGGCCTGCCCGCTGCCCCACAAAGCCCTGGACAGCATGGCTACCTCCAATCCCCTGGAATTTTCCAGAACCAACTCTCAGCTTAAAAACAAGCCCCGCTCAGTGATTCTGGGCTTTTCCCAGGCCCTAGAAGCCCAGGGACAACAGGTCAGCCCAGCCCCGCTGGTAGCCCCCATCTTCCGATGGTCAGAACCGTAAGCAGAAAACTGGATCCAAGAAACGGGAAGACTTACCATGATGGTAAACAGGGAGTTGTCGAAGGACATGTCTGGAACAGGAAGAGAAGAAGACCAGGGTGGGGGCCAGTTCAGATTTCTTGCTCACCCCCCATTTCCCAGGCCCTCCCCACAAGCCCACAGGCCCTAAATCTACCCTGAGGAAGGGCATGAGGTCCATCACCTAGCAATCTCTTTGTCTGCCCGCCAGCCCATTCTGCAGGGTGAACAGCTGCAAATTGAACTGTGTCCCTCTTCTGCTCAGAACTATTCCCTAGGTGACCCCTAGCTGCTTTCCGGAAAATGGGTGCCTCATCTCAACTCCTGCTTTCCAGAATACTTCTCATTTCCCCCTATCCTGGGCTCTCCACTAATTGCCCGCCCTTCACCCAGCTACTCCCTGTTCCCCCCTGTAGTTCTCTGATTTAAACATCACTTCCTCCGGAGACCGCCCTCCCAGCCCAGACAGCGTCCAACTTGTCATGGGCTGTTTCCCCACTGGAGTATAGGCTTGTGGACAGAAATCACCTCTGCCTTGGTTATCTCGGGAGCCCTCAGGCTTTAGCACATAGAGGCACATGCTCATTTAGCACATGCTCAATGAATACGGAAACAATGAAAGAGTGTATACAGAGAGTGGGGTTTTCTCTGCTTAGGGCCCCTTCCTGGGCATCCCACCTCACAGGCAGACTCTCTCTCTGCCGCCCCCCCCACCCCTTGGTGGAAGCCGCCAGAACAGCACATTCTGGACCACAACTAGGGCTCCATTAAGTGCTGTGCTAGACACCGGGAAAGTTGGGTGCCCCCGTGGTGGACAAGACAGCTTCAACTCCCCACCCTCTTGGAGCTGATGGTCCAGTTCTGGAGGTATGTATCATACACCCAAGCATCCAATGATCTTAGTTGCGTGTCTACTGAGGGCTAAGAAGAATGACAGGGTGCTAGGGGAATGTAAGGAGAAAGAATAGATCCTGCCTAGGGAGTCAGGGAAGGCTTCCTAGAGGAGGTGACCTTTAGATGGAGACCACACAGGGAGGAAAAATATCCTAGGCAGAGCGGGGGATGAGTGAACGGTTTGAGGATAGGGCAGGGAAAGGTAAGGGGTGAAAGCTGGTTGCACCAAAAAGAAAAGAGAGGTGAAAACTGGGAGGGACATGAGGGGCGGGGAGGAAGGGAAAGAGGAGGAGCGTGTGTTTTGGGTTCTAAGGGAAGTGAACAGCTGTAGAAGGGGTTCAGCAGCAAGTAGTGAGGCCCGATGGCCTTTTTGAGGCAGTGACTCTGCCCAGGCAAGGGACAGCATCAGGGAAGCACACACCTGTGGTGGCGATGTTAACCCAGCAGGATTCTCGCTCTCTGCAGAGGGATTTGGGAGAAAGTGATGACATGTCTTAGGCAGGAGGCTCCTTCCAGGTAGCCCTGGCCCCAAATTTGATCCTTCCTCCCCACCCACCTCCTCCCGCCCGGCCGAAACCCCTCAGATGGAAATTCTCTTGCAGGAGCCCCACAGCCAGGTGAAGTCAGGATTTGATCACTGGGGCTACTCTGCCACCAGGCAGCAAGGTGTTTTGCCCCTCTCTCCGAGGGGAGAAACCAAGGCTGGGGCCAGCGGACAGATTCTGACACCCAAGAACCAGGGCCACTGTCTACAGGCTACACATTGGGGGCCGCACAACGCCAGGGGACACCCACTTGCCTCCCCCTCACTATGGATTTCTAGAATGATTACTCAACAAATTTTGGCAACTGGCGATAAAGGAATGCGAGGAAGGCACCGTCTCCTCATCTGTTAAAAGGGGTCATTCATAGAGCCTACTTCCAGGGCTGATGCGAGGATAATGTGAACTCAAGGTCCAGAGTAACACAACCCCCACGCCCCCCCCCCCCCCCCCCCCCCCCCCCCCCCCCCCCCCCCCCCCCCCCCCCCCCCCCCCCCCCCCCCCCCCCCCCCCCCCCCC